CTGAAGCCTTTATCTCGCACTTCGTATGAGGAATGTGGTACATTCAGCGACTCTCAGCGGCCGCAGATCGAACGAACGAAAGTTCTACGACTCCGCAGGCAACGCGCGCGGTGATAAACCGTGTGAGTCGCTCATTATCTCGCGCTTTCGTAGGACGGTACACTTTGTGCCAGTGCTCACCCCCCCACCCCCTTAGCTGTGTGCACGGGGGCATCACACACTGTCTCTGGGTGTTGGTGAAATCCGTGTGTCTGAACCGTTTGAGCTCAGTCCTAAAGATTTTTCGGAATTCCGAGTGTCTATGTGTAACCCACAGACAAGCCCTTTTTGGGCCCTGTTTTTTCTGTGATTCGCAGTGCACAGGTGCACAGCCCAACTCTTAGCGCTAGTCCTCTACGAATGGGCGGAGGGAGTATTTGGTAGCCCCCTGTCGGCTTGCTGAACAACATTTCTCAAGTCCTGTGAAGTCATATAGACCTATAAAGGTGCACGCAATCAGTTACGAGCTCAGTCTCAGAACCAAATGCTCCCAAGTCCTGAGTTACTCGCTCATTCTCATAGGCTGTCTCTGGACGATGAGCTCTTAGTCGGGGCGTTTTTCAAAAGATTGCTCAGGAGACATCGTCGAGGAGAATTTAGGGTCGAAATCGAGGGCTCATTTCTTGGCTCGTCTCGTCGCTGAAATCTCCCTGGGGAACTGCGATAATCGACACAAATCCTTGTCCATACTCGCACTAACCTCTCATGTCTTTTCGGACACGTCACGTCCATTTCCAACGAACATCCATCCTTCTCAAATTTCGACTTATGGCCACCTAGTCTTTATAGAAAACACTTCATTCAGACGATCGTCTGACTTTTGGCCTGCCCTGCTCTGAACTACTTTTGTGAGAATGCTTCGTAGCTATGAAGGGGCAATTTTCACAATGCATCCCCCTACCTCTCAAAAGTTCCTCCTTTGGTACGACATCCCTCGTCCATCATCTTTCTCTGCTAATTTATCCCCCCTCCACCCCCCCTACAACATACCCTACCCCGTATCCGCGGAGTAGTGCACTTGAAACAGGCAGAACCGATAAAAGTCACCAACCGGGAGCAATTTCTCAAAGGCAGTTACAATACCCTTCTTCCAGCGACCAATCCCCCCCCCCCCCCCGCCTCCTCCTCGCTAGGGATCCCTATGCGTCAATGAACGATCTTCCACTACTTGAAGAAGTGCCTTCGGATATACTTTGATCACTGCTGTACATACCTCTTCGGACTTCACAGCACGCATAAGTCAGGCTTCATTCCTTTATCCCGTACTCTGGGCTGTACGTCTAACCTCCAGTATGCGCCAATTGGGTTTATAGCCAGGGCCTAGTTCGTTGAGGGAACCCCAAGGGTGGGTCTCGCATTGTTTCCGCCGGCAGGGGAGACGTCTGAGTAAAAAAAACTCCGAGAGGAGAAGCTGCGTTAGCAAGTCTGGATATTCGGCGACACGTTAGCTAGGATATGGACCATTTCAAAGAATCGGTGACTAGTTGCCAGCAACAATGGATAGAATCTCGCACGGGAGGAACTAAGTACCGAGAAAGTAAGGTAGGATAGGGGATGGGGGTACGAGAGGATCGCATCGGACGAGGGAATTTTGAGGGGAAGGAGCGTATTTTCGCGAAACTATTGGCCGATGGCAGAACTTCTTCTGGCCATTTCTATAGTGTTTCTTGGCTGAAGTTAGCGGCACTTCAAGTCCAGAGAAGGACTTATGATTGCTAGCCTGACCTTTATAAAGTGTGGTCAGCGTTGTCCGTTGGCCGATAAGCTCTCGTGAGCAGCGAATCATGTCGCCGGCCAACTTGATTAAAACGCAGCCGACAAGCGCCGAAATATTCTTCAGATAAGCGCCATGACCAGTGTCGCAGTTTTCTCATTTCACTGCTACTTTGTTTCCAAAAGTCCCCCCCCCCACTTTCCCCTCACCCCCCAAATGAGTTGTCTTATGAGTGGTACCCCTCCATTTTTGGGTGAGTCAGCTACTTCCATGTCCTAGTTTCAACCGCCTTCACCATATTCGGACTCCTTGGCCATCCGAGCCATCTCCTCTTCCTCTAATGTCAAGCTGATCCAAAAAGCTCTCGTCATCACTCTCGAACGGCTCTTTAGCAAGCAGAAAACGATCATTTGAATGGATTTTAGGCGAGATTGCTGCGCTAGGGGGGATTGTCTGTTGGGCATGGTTTCAGCCCTGACTAGCCAAGCACTCATGCCATTTAGTTGCCATCAATCTCATTCACCGCTCTGAGATAACATTTTCTTTTACTCGACAACAACTGTTAAGATGGATTATCCCCAAGAATCTCAGCAGATCGTTGTGGTTGAGCTGTATGAGTTCTTTTTCGTTTTTTTCCGGGCTGATTGTTTAGATTCCCTATGAAAAGCTCCCTGATGGTCATATGGATGGTGTGGGAGATTAGTGGATATGAGGTGTTATGGACGACAGCATTGGGCGACGAACACCTGACACCAGTGGTGCCCGGTCACACCTTTACTCTCGCCCGTATATCAATAGCGCTGGAATTGTCCCATCAAATCTGATGTCAATTGGTCATTTATCTTCTTAAATGTGGGATCCTCACACACTCTCTTCCTTCCATTTGCATATACGATAAGTTTTTTACGAAAACGTGATCTGAATTTTGATATCTCGATTTTTGCCCTCATGGAGAAATTTTTCGCGTATACTATACTTTGGCGCAATTCGGCTTGGAGGGGCACAGTGGTACTCGGCTGAGCAGGCACCTTGTAAAGACCTGTACACTCCTGTAACCAAAGTGGCTCTGTTGTACCGTTTCGCAGCTTTACAAAGATTTGCAGCTCAACTAACATGTCCTAGTAAGAGGAACAACTGGAAGCGAAATTGCCCCCTCTGAGCCGCACAGCGCCTTTTTTGTTTTATTTTTCCAAATATATTACTCTTAAACATGATTTTTCATAAAGGAAATGGCTGTTAGGAAGATATGGTTGATTTGAGATCATTTATATCTCTGACCATTAT